TGCAAAGAGAAAAATACTTAAGGGATGTGTTCTCTGAAGCGCAAGACATTTTATAGCTAGGCTGTGTGGCAGAGGTGTCTCGGTATCGGCGGCTGTAAGCTGGCGAAGTGGGGGTGCGGGTGTGAAGGAAAATAGGAAACGCAGAGCCACGCTGCGTGCTGAGTCTGTCTTGCTGTCTGAAATGCAGCGCAAGTTACTGCAGCAACAAACAGCGACCGTTTGTGCGAGCTGGTTTTGCCTATCAAAGTATCACCACTTCAGAGGGTCACTCAGCACCGCTGAACACACCTTCAGATGATGATCCAGAGCAAATAACCTGGGCAATGCTTGACATACCAACCATGCCTTTCTTATCTTTCTGCACATTGCACATCTTCTGTCTTCTTCTTCGAGAGGAGGGGAAAGAGAAACCTATGGCATTTAAAAAGTCGAAATGGAAAAGGTATCTTCAGATATGGTACCAAAGCCACGATGACTAGGATCCTTCCTGCCTTACACTGTGCAGTAGCGTGATCATGGAACCCTTTATTTGGAGTGCGGGGCTGTGACTGACGTGCTCCTGTTTCAATGCACTACCAGTACAGACAGAAGAAAATCTCTGCCAGTTCTGAGCAGTACAAGGTACATGACCTACAGAGTCGTCAATCTAATTTTATCCTGTGGTGAGCACTGGCGCACCTGTATAATGAATAGCACATTATCGCATCCTTTGCTTGACTATCTCAATAAAATATATTTAGTCTTCATAGCCTTCCGTACATCATGTTATTTATTCTTTCATCTAATGTATTTGGAGCAACTTGCTAGCAAGATGCAGCCCTATTTATCCTTCTAAGGACAACAATAGCAGGAATAAATGTTAAACTAAAGGAATGAATAAAAAAAAAAAAAATAGCAGCTCTATTTGTGCTATGCCGAGATGCATTTCTTGGCAGCCCCAGAGATTCAACAGTCTGGTATTTATCACGATGAAACACAGAAATGTCTGATGATTACATGAAGGAAAATAAAGAGACTGAGCATAAACCACAGACTGCGAGATAAGGGCACATTCCTATGGCAGGCAGCTGCTAAAGCAGTGGGTGTCAAGCCAGCCCCGCGCTGCAGCAGAGGAGGGTGCACAGGACAGGGCAGTGACGGGGGCAGAGCTGAAACCAGTGACAAACAGGACAGTTTCATACCAAGGAGGAAAATTAGGCAGCTTGCTTAATCACGTTATTTAACACCATAAGGAATGTGCTCTTGCCTGGACTGTTCTGGACACCGCACGGGCCACGTTCTTGGTTGAAGGCTGAAGGATGGTGATGAAATCATCATTCTGTACAGAGGGAGAGAAGCTCCTGGGTTTTAGCAGTTGCATCCTGGTGGTGGAAGTCCTCCATTTCCCTGACACAAGCACAGAGCCAAAGTAACACATGATCCTGCTGTTTTGTCTTCATTTCATCGTTTTACAGTGCAGCGTATTTGATGACGATTCAAGGGAATGGTGAATTGCGCTCTAGAAATGGCATTTCCTAAGCACAATTCACTAAAAACATATGCATATGATATAGATCTTATATTCTTTGTAGGGTTAACACAGGTAGTAGCATGAGTCTCTGCCTGGCAAATTCTTCTGACAGATGCTTTCCTCCTCCTCTCTGCCTTTTAGGATCAATAATCTCCTCTCGTGCAGGTGAAGAGATCGCCAAGTTACCCCGGTAGCCTCCTAGGCTGGAGTGCAGACCCCGTCACTCAACAGTGCCAAGGGCGTCAGAAGCAATTAAAGAAAAATGAGAATTGATTTGAAGGATGTAATAATCATTCACCTAGCTGGGGAAAAAAAAGGATTTTATCATTGATATATTAGAAAGAGTAACATTTACTCTCTGATAAGCGTTATGGCACCCACAGAAGTCAATCTGAATACCTCAAGGACTTGCACCGTAAATGATTTAATTCTAAAGAACAAGAAAACAATAATGTTGCAAATCAATCCGAGAGGTTAAGAAGGCTAGACGTGGGCAGGGGAAGGGTTTCTGACTCCAGTCTTGGCCCAAAGTAAGAAGCCAAGTATCTCCCCGGACCCCAGACCTGCCTTTCCATAGCAATTTTGTCTCCCAGCATATCATGCTCAGCTTGGTTTTGCCGTCACTCTTGCAGCTACTCTTGGAAATACACGGCTGTCCACCCTTCGCGGTTCCCATGTGTCCTGTCCTGTTGAGGCAGATGTGCTCACTGCAGGGGAAGCTTCGATGGGGATGGTGATCTGCGGGTACAGAAGACAGAAAACCAAAGATGAGTAACAAAGCAAGGTGGTTTTGAGGGAGAAACCGAAACCTGCCATAGCCTGTGAGTATCTCTGCTTGTGCTTTGGTGGCTGCCCTTGGACAGGCAGTTTTGTCACTCTGTGCTCAGCTTCTCATTGCTCTAACAAGGGACAAGGAGCTTCATTGATCTTTGTAAAGCATTCAGTAAGCGCCACATTTTTCTTTCATGTTCTGGATGTCCCTGCTATAGAACACATACATCAAACCCTGCCCGTAATGGAGTAATTAAATGGCACTGCTAAAGGGCTGTCGTAGGATGGGACTGATTACAGCTCACCCAGAAATGTCTTCCCAAGTGCCAGGCCCTTTGACGCGATTCTCCCCCCTTTCTCTGAATTTCTTCCCGCATTAATGTCAGCCAGTCCTGGGATTATTTGAAAAAGGGCCTTGGGGGACTTGTTCAAAGGCACTGCCACCACGGACGACTTTGCTTTCTGAACTGAAGCATTTCACTCCTATCTGTCTGGACATATGAGCTGCTCAGCACTGCTTCATTAGGCAAGTTATTTTTAAATTCCCAGAAAGAGCAAAACATGGAGAGAGGAATTAGCATTTGCTGTTGAAACAGCTGCAAAAAAGAACAGGCAGAAACCCACTCTGGGTCCCCCCTGCCAGCCCTGTGATTAACCACATGGCAGTACCCAAAGTCACTGACACATGCTCAAGCTGCACATGAGACGTTAGAAATCACGCCCGAAGAGAAGGACTGGTGAGTGACCGTCAAAACCGTGTTTTGGATGTACATAAGAGGGTGACCATCAACACTGAGTAAGAAAATGTCTTTGAAAGATCTCTCTTCCCTCCAACCCCATCCTGTGTTTCCCACTTTCTCTTTCCCCCACCTTTCTCTTAAGGACCTTGACACTTAAAACCCCTCCATTTTGCTTTCTCAACACAAATGAATGAGAAGAGAAAGCCTGCCCAAGGTCCTTGCTTCCCCTAAACAATAACTAAAACCCAGCGGGCACCCAATACTTTCAAAATGCCAAGGGACGGCAATAAAGCTGACGTTATTCGGTAGTACTCTCGCCTGGTAACATGTTTAAGTTTCCCAGTGGCGAACACTGCTCGTACAGCATGCAGTTAAAGCAAAAGGCATGGCAATAAAACTGTGAGAGGCACGTTTTGGTAGCTGTCTTTTTGCAAATGCTGATTGCCCTGCAGCTTGTGCTGCTCAGGGCAGCTATGGCTCACGCTGATAATGTCACGCGGGTGAAAAAAAGAGTTGGAAAGCTGTAGCCCGTTATGGATGTGGCCTAAACCTGAAAAGGGAGGAGAGATGACTCAAAATGGCCTTTTCACCTAACTGGGAGCACGCACGTATTGCAGCTACGGCTGCCTGCGCCTGCCTGCTTCACCTCTTCCCTTCGCCCCTGCCTGCAGTCATGCTGTTTCTGTATTTATTCAGAAGAAATCTAGCAGGAGCTGTTCTAATAACCTGCTCCCAATTCCAGCCTAATGAAGGCTGTCGGATTCCTTTGAATTAATTCTTGTTCAAACTAGAGTGTTTCCTTTGGAAAAAAAAAAAAAAAAAAGTCTCATTAAGTATTTCCAGTGCTTCTTCAGTGACAGGCACTCTGCCAGTGTCAGCAAATTATGGGTGGACTGCTTCAGTGGCCAGCTTTCCCCACTGCTAAAAATATACAGCAGCCTATTTTGATGTCCAGCTACCAAACACCATTTTGCCAGATAAAGAACCCTTTAGCGTTAAATCTGCCACGTGCCTTCCTCGAGACTGCATTTAAAATGTCCCTTAACCTTTTATTTCTTAATACACTGTGTTCCTTGGGTGTTTTCTCATGAAGGTGTGTTTCCAGCCCTCGGGGAAGTCTTCCTGGAGCCCACAACAGAGGTAATAAAACCGCCCTTGTCTTCCTTGGTGTCTCCCTCTTTGGTTCCATGGAAGCATTAGCGCCTCTTGGCAGAGCATCTCATTAGGAGCTCATGTTCAGCTGGTTATTCCTCTTCTGAAACACTGTTTTCCATGACTTTGTCACCCGCCCCGTAGTCCAGCTGCCGCTCTATTCTTAGGCTGACCACTTTACATCTGGTGGCATGGAAAAACATGTTGTTTACTTAAGCTGAGCTCATTAAGTGGTCCAGATTAGTTTGGTATCAGCGACCTGCCCCTAACTTCTGTGCACCTGCAGATCACCAGTAATGATTTTATATTTTCTTGTAGGTCACTGATCACACATTAAGTGCTGTGGGGTCAAGAACCGAGAGGAAGGGAGCCGTGCTTTGTTCAGCGATGCTTCTGCTTACAATTACACTTGGAGACCTATCAGTTGGGTTTCAGTCCAATTAATATTTGTCATACTGACTTCCATCGTTCCTCTTCCTCCATCAAAATATCGTGAAAGTCAAGATCAGATGTCTTACTAACTGAAGGTTTATTCTATCAGCACTACTACTTTAAATGATGCCATTAAGGAAAGTATCTGGATAACCTGGCAAAGCCTACTTTTCATAATGTTACAGTATCTTCCTGAAATGATTTATTAACGAGGCCTCTTAACCACATTACATTATTTTGCTTGGCATTGCTGTCAGCATGACAGAGACACAGCACATTTGCCCCAGTAAAGGCCATACTTTCCCCCGTCCCCAGATGGGCTCAGCTTTTAATTGAGTCTTTTGTAGGGCGCTGCTTTATTGCAAAGTGTGATATCCCTACCATCTCTTTTGCAGGCAGGCTTGTTTCGTGACCACTCCAACAGGACACAAGTACGAAGGAGTCAGATTTGAAAAGGGAAACTGCGGAGTCAGCATAATGAGAAGCGGTAGGCAGTTACTGGTTGCTGAATGAGCGCGAATTAAACCAACTGTAAGCAGCTCCCTTTCAAAAATGTGCACCAACACTTCTCCACAGCAAAGTTTTACCCAAACCTGCCAGCTGTTGTTCCTTCTTAGGTATCCTTGATCACAGAACGTCAAGCACTGCGTTTCATTAACTTCTTAGGAGACAAATAGCTGCAACAGGTTCCGTCTGGCCTCTCCTCTAGCGACTGCTGACTGTGAGAGGCCAGGCCAGCCGTCCTCCCG